AGAACATGGAGACTGACACATAAAAGAACAGTAATAGTGCTGAGTAAGGGGATTAGCCCGTGTGCTGTTGGTTCAAGGTGAGAGCGACAAGCAGGAAGAAATGTCTCTTAGCCATTATGCCGTGTCACCGTTATACAGTACTTGGCCCTCAGTCGAGACTCCAGATGGTCAAAGTCTGGAAGTTTCACTCTGGGGCAATTGAGCCATGTAAAATAAAACAAAGGATAAATGTTAGAGTATGGAGCAAGAAGCAATTGAGCCATGTAAAATAAAACAAAGTATAAATGTTAGAGTATTGAGCAAGAAGTCAAAAAAGGTAGGTAAAAAAAAAAAAAAAAATTGCAGTTGAGAAAAGATAAAAAGTTCAAATATTACAGATGGAAAATTAAACGACTGCCATGAGGAATGTTAAAATACTACATACTAAACACTTCTGAGATGCTTGGTATATTGAAAGTGTTCAAATATGGCACCAAAATATTTAATGATTAAGATTATTGGTTTATGAAAAAAATATCGCACGTGAGAAAAAATGTAACAAAAAAATTAAATAGTGTCGGAAAGTTTCAATAAGCAATAATGACTACAGCACTCGGCACGGTTCTGCCCACTTTTTCCAAGGACAAAGATGGCACCACTGTCTTTCACTTCTAAAAACGTAGGACTCAAAGAATGGACTTTTTTGGCAATAAAAAAAAATCTAATAATTTCTAAGTAATCTTTTTGCTTAGAGCGTTGACTATTTTTAGGTCAAAATGAATTAGCTAAATGCTAACATGTTTCTGTGGTAGCTTTAGTGTCATTTCAATTTCGTTGTACCCCCGTGTTGCAAAGACAATAAAGGCTATTCTATTCTATTCTATTCTATTCTATTCTATTCTAGTCTATTCTATTTGGCCCAGTCACTGTTGAAGCAGAGGCTGGTGTCAGAGTTTTTTTAATGGTGTTGATCCGTGTCATCCTTCACTGTGATTATCCTGAAATTAACATGCAAGTTCTGCTTCATCCATAAAAAGCCTTATAATTTTATTGCACAGAACATTAGATTTTCTGTGAGCTGTACCCATTAGCAGCACATATTAAAAGTGAAATGCAGTAAAACTTCCGTTCCTGTAATTCAAACGTCCTCCTTCTTAATGGCTCTAAAAACTGTTCCCACACTCGGAGAGCCGGAGAAATCGTCTCCTCTTTTCTCCCAAAGGTCTGTGAACAGCAAAGTCTCTGCTCTCCGTCTGCTTTATTGACTTGACTCTACAGTTTATTCCCAGAATTCAATATCACTGTGTGTATAAGGGTGCCGGAGAGTGAGTGTGTGTCATGTCTTCAGGAACAATTTGTGTTTATCGCCGTGCTGTGCAAACAGACTCGTGGGCTGACAGGAGAAATACGTTGTTTCTGTTTACAGTTTACAGTTTAGTGAACGCAGTAAATTTGACAGTGGTTGTAGAAATGGAAATTCACAGTTTAGGATGTGATTTCATTTGTTTTTGTAAATTGAATTAATTATTTACATATTTAATATTTGCCAGGGCTCTTTATTCAGACTCTTTCTGTATCTTACCAACATTAGATATTTCTGGGCCAAGTTATATTGATGTTTATTTTATCCCTGTACTTTACGACTTATGTTTGTTTTTGTTTTGAACATTACTACTTACAAAGTGTTACTTTTTGACAATTTTAAGTTTCTGCTCTGGTTATCATTTAGCTGCCCTTACACAGGTTTGGGTTTGTTTTTGGCACACACATATATACAGTATATATATACGTTGTGGTATCAGTACACATCAACCTCAAATTATTTCTAGGTTCCTTTATTTAATTCCTTTTTTTTTTTTTACCTTTTTTTTTTTTTTAAA